AATTCATTATACAACATACCACATCAGCAGCTCCTCTGCCCGAGGCTTCAACTGCAACACGGCTAATAGTAATTCCTCTGTTATAGGGTGATATGTAGTAGGAGAATACTGCAGAGATCTCATAGGCCTTGCACATAGCTACAGCATGCTCAGTACAATCAGGTCATACTATGTAACACTACCTTGGCTTTTTCAGTGTTTCCTGTAATATTCAGACTGTCCCATGATCATGCTATATTATTTGCATTTTATTTGCAAAAGAATGACCAACTCTAACCTGACCCACTCAACGCCCCCCCCCCAACAACCCAAATCTTCTGCCCCCCAAACCCTAAACCCCAGATATGTAGGGAATTTTTCATGTCAAATGTTTATAATCAAAGGACCCAATTCTGCTCACTGTTACGATTGTACTGACTACAGTCAAGTTTTTCATGATTTACGTTCCTTCAATGTAAAATTAGTGTAAGTGGGGGGCTTAAAACTGAAACAAAACTCCTGATTAAACAACCAAAAATAATTCTAAATAGATTACAAATTCTTTCACTTAAAAGTTCTGAATGATAGGATTCTGAAATTAATAGCATCCATGTGTCAGTATCATCCCATCTGCCAATGACAACTTGTAGCATTTCACACTACATTATGTAGCAGTGGTTTTGTTTTTCATTTAGAAATAAAGGTTTGCTATAAGGGAATCAAACACGAAGCTGAGTTACACGAGACAAAGAACTGAATGCCTTGGATTGATCTCTCTCTCACTTGCAGAAAGTGAAGTGACATCTTTGGTTACGGGGCATCCAGATCTTGTGTGAGATACTGCCTGTTCTTTACCATAATACCTATTAGTCATGCTGAGATGTTGACTTTTTGGAACCAAAGGATAAAAAGTGCCCCCATTTCCAAATTACTAATGATTATCACTTTGGCATAGCTGTTATCTATTTTAAAACAATGTACAAACAGGAGTTAAATGAGATCAGAGTTAAAATTATGCTACGATGTTAAACTACTGTGTAGAGTAAGATGGTTCCCTATATTTAAGCACCTTTCACTTGCAAGTGCAGGATATCAAATCAAGACTGTGCTCTAGGGCTGAGACTGAGGTAGCTTAGGGTATTTTCAATAACAAAGTCTGACTTGAAGAAAACTCTACTCTGAAGTAAAGACCAACCACCTAAGTATATTCTCTGTGGCTTGGGTGTTTTAACACAATTATGGTCCTGATAGAATTAAAATTGGATCACTTCTTTAAAACTGAAGTTAAGCCCTAACAATTAAAGAAGTCTTCATTATTTAAAATTTCCTGTTTAGGGTGATGAACCTGTAAGTATCATCTGTATGATGACAACCACAAAGGAACTTTTTGGGAATAATGTCTTCCATGCCCACCATGCCCCTTACTAAAACTTGTCCACAGTACCGTCTGAGGTGAGTAGCAGCCTTCCTCCCCATCAAATAATAACTTAACACATTTCACTATCTACTTGCCCTCCATCAGTGCAAAAAACAGTGATTACCTTCACATGTTTCTCCAAATACAACACAGCTACATTCACCAAATTACATTTTTATGATTGGTTTACCAGAAAGGAAAGAAAAATGAGCAACATAAAAATAAAAATACATATTGCAAGGAGAACATTCAAAATGGGTCACTGGCTAGTGGGAGACCAGCTTGAAACGTGTTAGGCCCTAATTTCCACTAGTTTTGAGAATATAAAAGATTAAGGAATCTAAAATCAAAGGCTATATTGGAAATGGTCTATTGACTATTAGAACTATAGTGCAAGTTTCACTACCTCAGCCTCAGATTGTGGCTACAGATACTGCAGATTGCACAGTTCCAGATGTCTCAGAACCCTGGCAAATTTCTCTACCTCTCACAAAGTTTCAGCATTGCAGACAACAGTGTGAGGTGCAAGGCATAAATCGAACATCATCAGAAGACACATACTGTTCTCCCACAAGAAAACGTCCATGGCCAGAGAGAGACTCTTCACATACTTTCTCACTTGTTCAAAATGCCTGTGTTAGCATTAAGAATTATGTCATTTTCTGGTCAATGCAGAGATACTACTAGCTTTTTTTCTACAAACATATTTCCTTGCATCTCAGAAAATCTGTCATATTTACTCGAGGCAAAGTTACATTGGTCAATTCCCTATGAAGCACTCACTTCTCATTAATAATTTCAAACATTCTCACTATCTATCTTGTCTAAGGGAATACTACTACTTGGCCTCTGGAGATTATATTATTTCGATTCTTTCAGTACTACTTTATTGTGACTAGAATAATTAACTTCTGGCTTAATTGTTACTACTGACTAGACTGTCCTCTCCACCTAGGCAGTGTGTCACAGTGAGACCCTGGAGGGAATCTCTGGCTTTGCTAATAGTCTTGCCCCACCACTATGGCAGAGCTCAGGGGAACACCTGGGCAGTGTAAAGCCAGCCCCTGCAACTCTATGCAACCACAGTGCATGCACACGCTTAACTTGCGCTGCATGCAGTTTGGCCATACTACTCAGTCTTCCTATGACCCAGTGTAAAGGCTTTTGAAGTGAAAAAGAGGCTTTTATTTCTGCATTAATTACAGAGTACAGTCTTCGCAGGATCTTTGTGGAAATTTCCTGGTCTATTTTTCCTTTGCCAATCTACTACTGAGAATGGGCAGCCTGTGCTATTAGACAGCTGGATAACAAGATGCGAGTGATTAGTCTGCTTGATTAATACAAAAAGATGTAAACTTGTATCAACCATTTTTTCCCTTTTGTGTTCTGTCCCCCCTTGACTACACTACAGCCTCATCTACCAAGGCCTCAAGACAAATAAGCAGCCTGTTCTTCCCTTTGTGCTTAAGCCTGGATACAGGCTCCCTCCTTCAGCAATCATCAACACTACTTCATAACTGGGTCATAGACCAGTGCAGAAACCTGTCACATTCCCTTCTCTGTTGGCCTCTGTGTTCCAGGTCCACAGCACTACCACCAGGCTGACAGACTAGTTCTGCCTGTAATGTAACTTAAAGAGAATTCAAAATCAATCTATAACATTGCAGAGTAATGTTTCACTATGAAAAATAACAGTCTTCGCACTGTCTGGACCACCTAGTGGACAGCTTTTTTTCTGTGAATAACAGCTTATGTAGTATAGCCCTACATTATAAAACAAATGTATTTTATACATGTGTTCTGATTCCAAAAAGATATTTGCTATTTCACTTGGTTTTCACAATGGGACTAACAATATTCTCTCCTTAAAAAGTATACCTCACACAATAAGACCGAATACAGATTCAGCAGTGTGTGAAAGCATCGGAATTTCTGAATGCAAGCCTTGCTTTTAAAAGCACCCAAGGAAGTTATTATTCTTCAGCAGGTTTACTTCCTTAATAGTTACTCATTGAAGTGTGATTTATATGAGCATCTATCTGAGTATCTTCATGCTTAACTAGGAAATTCCTTACTTCTCTGTATTTGCATGCTTATGCATTTACACATACATGTTTCTGAAATAGTTGAAATTAATGTTGCATTTATCTCTTCTTCAAATTCTATTCTTGTATCACTTCACATTTTTGAAGTCTCTCTAAATTACTGGGTAATGACTCTGAATCACATGCTTGCTAAGGGTGTAATTCTGCCAGTTTTACTCTCTCTAATTGTTTTACCTCAGACACAATGTCTTTGATTTCAAGGAGACTAGTTGCAGGGTAACATACAATATCCAGTGAGAGTAAGGATGACAGGTTTGGGCCCTGACTGCTTTGCTCAAGAGGATTTGCTGCAATGAAGATATTTCTGTTTGACAGGTTTATTGTTTAACATGTAATAATTTAAGATAGAAATGCACACATCCCCTGCAGTCCCACACTATGGATTCAAAACCCATATGGACAGAAATGCATGAAGAGAGAATAACGGATTTCTCAACCTGCTGTGTTTACATACTATTCTGTTTTTTAGCATGGAAAGCACATTATGCCTTTATAGAAGACTAAAACCACGGAATTTGCATTATTTCCTGTAACAGAAGGATCTCCATATAAATACCTATCTTCTTACCTTTTCACTGTAAATTATTTAACTGACCTCTGTAAAGTTTAAACACATAAATTGCAGTATTAGGGCTCAAGTATTCAGATAAATATTTGTAGACTTACAAGATCAAAGGTGTCCCATTAAATATATAAACAGAAATGTTAATGTATGGCACTAAATTACAAACAACTAATTTTCAGTAATAACCTGGAAATTAATGTATGATCATTTATATTTTGGCACTAGTTACAGATATCGCATTATCAACCTACTTAATCTTAAACTGTGGAAGGTATTCTATGAACCGGTATTAAAGTTTGTATTCACAGATTTGCAAGGACACAATGACTACAATAAAAAAGTATTCTGACAGGTAATGATTTCCTGGAATATTCAAAGATAAACCAGTTAAAACTCAACAAACGTCAAAATGTTTTACCTCAAGATTTTAAACTCTTACTGACCATGGCAAAAATAATGTATCAGCAAATAAAATACAAAAACACTTTGCATAGATTGTAGCATTATTGCAGACTTTCCTGTGTTGCTGACAATCTTTGTGTGTGTGAACAAACAAGTTGTCTTTCATTCTGCCAAACATGAGAGATTTCATTACTGTCTTCTACTTTTGAGGCTGGAAGGCAAAGGAAAGCTGAAGCTCTTGAAAGTCAATTTGATTTCATTAAAAGGATATTTCAAGATTATTAACCACATTTTTAGTAGAAACTCTATTTTAAAAATCTTTATACTTCTGCCTCTGTAATTCAGGTATTTAAGGGCTGTTCTTATATTTCCAGGTTGAAAATGTGTAGAAGAAAGTTAGTTCCTTTATGTTTCTTGCTTTCCAAGGGATTGTTAAAAGACCTCATCAATATATAAAGCAAGTTACATGCTGACAACATGTAGCTTATAAATAGTAAACAAAAGATCTCTGTTACTTTACTATATTTCTTACCTCCTTTTTTATGGGATCTCAAGGAACTTGACAACTGATGGTCTGTAAATGACTGGGATTGGCTAATCGATTGTGAATCATTCATTTCGAACGACTGTTTTCGAATAAATGGAGAAGCAGAAATCTCATCCAAATCCTTCTGGAATAAAGAATGCTGGTTTTGGCACATAGGAAATTGTATTGATTCCACTCTGCCGTGATAACTTATAGTTGTGATCTCACAGAGAGCAACTTCTTATTTTCTATGACTCTGTGAAATGTCTAATGCTAGATTTAAGTTACGCAAGATTCTTGTGGCTTTCAGCAACACCGACTTAGCACCCATGTCACAAACATTTGTTTACTTTTTCCATTTAACTTATTTATCCCCTTTCCTCATGCAGTTAAATCATAGCATGCACTGTATGCTGATTTCCTCTCATAGTTAATTTGTATCTTTAGAAAAAAGCTATAGGAAGGTATTAATCTGCTTAACATTTCTAAGTACATCATCCAAGGGATTTTGTTTTTTTAATCTTACATATGCTCAGCAGAGTTACTGGCAAAAACTGTACATTTTCTCCATTTCATCCTTTCAACATCAAATGGTAAGCAGCAAAAATTGGATCAGACTTCAAAGACTATGCTGTGCTCCAAGTCACAGAGCGACTCCTCCATTTCACATATTGAATTCAAGCAGGATATCAAAGTGCTACCAAAGAACCTCAGGTCCTTACTAAAAAAGAGTCTCTAACATCTGTAGAAAGTGAAGTGCGCAGACAAATCACCTCAGGGAGCAGCTAGCATTTATTCTCAGCAGCAAATTTCCAGCCTTTTGATTCTCTTATTCACTGTACCTCCCTGTCTTTCTACAGAACTAAAGTTCTTAGCAAGCAGGCTTTTGTCTCAAAGACTTCAAAACATCACTAACGGTTTCATGTTCAGATGGCTATGCCAAGCAGCCATGAACACATTGCAGAACTGTGGACTCAGGAATTTGAAGTTATAATGAGATGTTATTTTAGAATATAAACTTAGTAGTACCTTTTTTGTTTGTTTGTCAAGAAAATCAGGCACCACAGGAGAAGACTGGTTACTGGTTTGCTGCCTATAAGCAAAGAAAAATAAATATGTAGTATAAATATTGTAATTTCTTCATTCTTATAAAGGTTTACTGGCATACACATTTTTTGTTGGTTTTCCCTTTTCCCCCTCCCCCAATTTCTAAATATGCACATACAATCAATTCAGAGAAAACACAGACCAGTTCCATTTCCTCTTATAAGGAAGTGCATGTTATTAAACACAGTAGCAGGCTATGAGCAATGAATTTGTCATTAAAAATTTGTGGATACGTGCATGTGTGTAAAATGAGTTTATGAGAATTCTATGAAACTGAAGTAATGTATTAAAATTAATTTAAGAAGATTTTACATGAAACTTTTTTTCCAGGGCTGTGAAAAGCTGTTTTCACAGAATTCAAACATAGGCACTCAGAATTTGACAGATGAGGAAGAAGTGAAACACACAGCTTTGTGTTCTCCTAAAGCCATTTGTGTTGAGGACAGAACAAGGAGTAAAGAGTTCTTAGATTCTTTGTCTATATCTGTTATTATTTTACCATCACATTATGTCACCGTAAAAATATTAAAGGCCAACTCCTGCTCTCATTAATGCTAATTAAAGTATCATAAAAACCTTCTGCAGGCCCTGATCCTTGTTGGCAGGCCTTTGAAGTCAATGGATCTCTTCAATAGTAAAGTCCACCCAGACAGAACTTGCTCCAGAATCTTTAGCTATGCAAAACCAAAAAAAAATGCTACCAATTTCATTTGTTGGATAAAAAACTGAGGTTCATAGATATTACTTGATATGCCAATGGTCCTAAAACTGGGATTAAAAGCAAGATTTTCTGATTATCAAAACACACCTCAGCCATTGCTTCATTACTCTCCAACCCCCTCACAACCTTTCTGAAAATACAATTAATGGCAGTTGTATTTCTACTTATAGATGAAAACATCTGAAATCTAAGTTTCAGTCATAGATTTTGGTTTAGACATATATATCATAGCTTTTTTCATAAATGGGGAAAAGCTTTACAAAGTACTAAGTAGCTCTTTCAGTTTTACACAGTTATTACAACTGAATACATTTCAGCCCTTTCAGTTACAGTGGGAAGGGGGAATATAAAGAACAAAAATTGCTTTACTGATTAAGAAATACAACATATGTTACCTCAAATTTAATTTGCTGTCAATACTTACGTTTCAATCAACTACACTAGTTATAAGTTACTCATGTAACAACAGAACAATATTGGAATTTAAAAAATATGTCTGGCCACGTGTGCATTTTACCTTTCAAAATGCAACTTTAAAATGTACCCTTTAAAAATACTTCAGATTAAAATAACACTACTGAAGGACTTGAAATATTTTAGACTATTATGTATAGAATTTGATAACTGTATATCACCATGCATATGTATTAGATAATACATTTATTCTGTGACATCCACTGAGGCTACTGATGTATTGCAAGCCTTATTTGCAAAAGGGTTTAGGCTCTTAGATTAATTAAGTTTGTCTGAATGCGTTACCCCAGCTCAAGAGCATTGACTTGAATTGTTTCAAAGTAGTCACAACAATGATGGCATCACGGTTGTCAATAAGCTACCTCAGGGTGTGGAAACAAAATGAAGAATTCATGAACATGGTAAACATTCAACTTTCCTGTAATGCTGCGATTTCATGAATGAAGTTTGGATTTGCTTGTCAGGTTTGTGGAATTTAAATTCCCCTTTATTCTTTAACACTAAGAAAGAGAAGGAAAACATTCTGCCTAAACCGTAATTTGAATTTAAACTGGTGTTTTCCTTGGAGGAAATGGAGGGATCCATTTTAAAAATGCATTCTCATTTTGTACTGGCACACTTTTTTGTACAGGAAAGTATAAAGTACGTCTAGGATTGTATGTGACATTGCATTTGTGCATGTACCATCTTATCTGTAAAGTTCTTTATTACTATTTATCTTGTATATATATTATTTATATAACCATTTAATAGGATTAGTTAGGTAACTTGCCACTTTTCCCCAAAATTATTCAAGCATTTGTTGACATGATTCAGTCCTCCAACCCCCAATACTGCAGAAAATAAACCCAGTATGAACTAAAAATTATGAATAATCCTCCAATATCACTGTGGTGGTTGTCAAAATAAAAATCTGCTGTTGGATCATTACGTTGCAAATGGTCTACAATGCTAAAATGGACTGAATCATCACCTAAATTTAAATATTCAGATTTTGGGGTGGTTTGGATCTGGATCTAAACCTGCAGCTTGAACTAATCTCTACCTTCTATTAAAAAAAAAATCTAGAATTTAGTAAGATTTTGCCAGCACTGTAACTTTGCCAGGGCTAGAACATTGTCCAAATATTTAAAGCATGAAGGTAAAGTTCAGCAACTTGCGTTCTGTACAGCTTAAACTAGCAAAAATCAGCCTCTGGAATTCTGAAGCCCTTAGACCCCGACTCTCTGTCAGGATCCCAGTGATGCTGTGTTTATGACTAGAACAATCCTAAGTTGGGTTGTACTTGGCGCAAGATACCCCATCCGTCCACAGAATGTACTGTTGCTGATATAAGTATGTACTTCATGATTACTAGCTTTTACTCACAAGCTTTTCGTTGTATTCTTCTCCTCCTGTTGTGTTGAGAAGGGGGAGTGACAGAGCAGCTTGGTGAGCACCTGGTGGGCAACCAAGGTCAACCCACCACCATGTCAAACTGGCAAGGAACACTTCTGAAAACATGGCATCAACTGTAGATGCTGAGCACCTTGAAATCAGCCTCTGAGCTATTCTGAAAATTTGGCTAGTATGCAATATGAAAAATGCAATAACAACAGGAAGGCAGCTCAGCAGTAGTTAGGTTAGTAGTTAGTTATATGAGCCAATCAGTGATGATAGCTAACATTTTCAAATGTGACATCTGAGGCTGATTTTGAGGTGCAGGGTATTTTCAGGTATCTTTGAAGAAACTGCTTTTCCTAAGGTTTCAAAAAATTTTTGTTTTCCACATTTGCAGGAAAGCAGTATTTGGGTCAGAGAGATGAGATCCAGTCAGCACACTTACCCGGGAAGGATGTAAGAGATCCAGGTTCATCTGCCTGGTTTCAATCAGGCAATACAACAATTTGCTGCTGAATGTTCAGCTACTGAGCTATAATACGCCTCAGTCTTCACATATGGACTGTCTATAAATCACTCAATTAGCAAGAAACATTGACAAAAAGAGAAACATTGATTCTTAGGGTCTGTCTACACATCTGTGTAGTGTATAGCCACACTATCCTTCGCACTGAAAGCAGTCAAACCATAGCAGCATAAAACTAGTAGCACAGACTAATTTATGCCAGAGGAAAATAGCTAGTTTTGGAGTTATTCTGGCCATGATGAGTTAAGTCATGGAATTTGGACTTTCATCATTTAAACGCTTTTGAAAACGTTAGAAACACTCCTAGATATTTTACTAGAAAGGATACAGCTCATTCTGCAGAAAGAATGTATTCCTGAACAGAATAAATTTAATTCTTCCAGCATGGGTAGATGAAAAATTCCAAAGAGATGGAAAGGAGGGAAAAAAAAGAAGATGACACTGAAAAATTGTGCCCAAATTTCCGTTTACACCTTATAAATCATGAGTAACTATCTGAACTTATGAACTGTAATTAGAAGCTCACATGACAGCAGAATCAGACCCAATGGGTTCCACTGCATGCCACAGGAATTGCAGACCTATTTCCATCACAAGCAATAAACTTAATGTTTAATACGATTACAGATAGGAAAGTGAAGCAATTAAAGGAGAGCAGAATGTCTTTATACCAGCTTTTACTGTGGAAAGAAATGAAAATTTGTATTCAAAAGATCGTTTATACAAGAAATCGCAGTGTGGTCTTGACAGAAACTGAAATTATCCAAGGAGGAAATTATGGAGCAATGTAAGAAAGGTGTAAGCAGTAAATCACCAGGACCTGATGGCATTGATCTGAAGGTCCTGAAAAAAAAAAAGGTTTAAAATGTGGAGATATGACCCTTTCAAGCAGCTATCCATGAGGAGTAGAAGCACACTAACATAGTGATTTTTTTTTCTCTCCTTTTAAACAAAAGAATCTAGAGAAGGTTTTGTTATTGACTGAGTGAACCTCACTTTAGTGAGAGTCAAGCTGCAGATCAAGTCAAAGAAAGCATAGCAGAAGATAGAAGAGTTTTTATATGGAACAGTTTACTTCACATTAAGCCAGTTTCTGAACTGATCTGTGCTCATGTGACTGAAAATCATGTTTATTCTCCACCTTCAGTGATACACAGGATATTCTGTGGTAATCCACCATGTAGGTGAATCCACATTGCATGCTATTTCAGTGAGCCTCCAGTTGTTGCAGAACATTCAGAAATGAACATTGTTCATTTTTGAGGCACAGCAACAACACTGTTCAAGTAAAGCCGACCCAAGGAGAATTATTCTGGAACAATTTTTATACTTACTCCCTACACTGATGCAGCAATGACTGCTGGCACTAAGATGCTATAAAAGTAGCTGACTTGCAACACTAAACCCACTGGCACAGAGATGTTACATTTCAAGAAGTCACTCTGTATTTCGAGATCATAAAAAGAACCTTGGCAAATCACCTAAGCCATCCCCATTTTCAGAGAAAAACCAGCTACATCTAGCCATTTTTTTTTTGTCAGAAGTTTGTCTAAGCTGATTTTTGAAATCTACAGCGATGGAGATGTCAAAACTTCCCAAGGTAACCTACACAGGGCTTAACTCAGTATACCATCAGTGAGTTTTTCTTGATATCTAACCTAACTCCTGCACTGCAATGCAAGCCCATTATTTCTTGCCTGATTCCCAATGGTGAACAGTTTGTTCCTTTCCTCTTCACATCAGCCTTTTGTGACTGGAGAAACAATATCACATGTACTCTCAGTTTTCCATCTCTTTTAGAGATGTCCTCTTATCATGGCTTATAGGCATGTGATCATTTTTGTTGCTGAGGGACTTGCTCATTTTCTTGAAGTGCAGTGTCTAATATACTACATAACTGAGGTCTTGAGAGTGATGAGAAAATATTACGATGCACGTGTGAGGTAGCATGTATCCTCATTGCTACTATCCAATGTAAACTTTGGAGCAGGGTGCCATTACTGACTGACATTCATTTTGTGGTTCATTACAGTCCATGTACCTCTGTTCCTAACTCTAATTCTGCCCTCTTAAACCCCTGTAACCATCACTCACTCAGTACTGATACAAATTTAGTAATCAGATTCTGCTTCATCAGTCAAGCCATTAATGAGTAGAAATAGACCCATTTCTGGAACTTGACTTTCAGATGCATACTTTTGGTAGAACAGAGAAATACTGGTAATTATTCTTTTTCTACAACTTTCCAAACACTTAAACTGGTATGCCTGTGTACTTTTGTTCAGGCTTTATGATCCAATCTTGATTACCTACGTCTCCTGTGAATGTCAAGAGTTTTACTAAAATGAATACTTTCTGAGAATCTATGCTGACCAAAGCGTGAACATGATACCAACTAGCTAAAAGGGGAAAGATGTAAGGAGAAAAATCGCAATGAATTCAACTCAAGAGTGTAAACTGCTGTTGATGTCAGGTATCTTCTAACATGCATCCTTAACACACAGAGCTCCGTAAGAAAACAAAGGAGCAAGGGATACTCACTGACATGGAGTTATAGTTACAGATATAACTAAGTGTAACAAAGTCACTATGTGGAAACAATGCTTTCTGCTACTACATGGTATAAGGCCACTGATCATGTACATATAGCTAACTTATATTATGATATTTAGCAGTCAGTGAGCTATAGTTCAGTGAGCTAGAGGAAAAAAAGAACAATAGAGGAAGTATCTTCCAGGGTAAGTATCAGATCAGTATTATTTAACACAATTTTCATTTAGGTGGGAATGGATAAGAAGATGGTGGAACATGCAGGTTACAGATGCTTTGATGAGATTCTAAAGGGATTTAAAGATACTTGAGGATGACAGCTCTGTCTGAACATGAACAACGTAGCATAGATTAAGGTCCTTAGTCACTGAACTGTAGCTTATCCTGCTAAGAACAAGAACTTTTATGAAAAATATATTCACTAGAGATGTCAGTCTAACAAGTTAAAAATCACAGGATGTTTTAGAAAATTACTTCTCCCTTCTCCACAGATGATTCCTAATTAGCTCAAGAGATCCCCAATACTAACTTGAAATTGTAGCTATGCCATTGCAAAATTCAGCACCTTTGATTTCATGCAATGACCAATTCTAAAGTGGAGGCAGACATGAGGCAAGGCTGATATCCGCACTGGCCTTGTGCGAGGGGAGACCATGTTGCACTCCTCCCTTCTCTGCTGCCTATTCGGCTCTCTGCAGAAGGGTAAATCTGCTATTCAGCAAGGTTGTAAAAAGGGCTCTGAAAGGTTTTCACTTTCCTCATTTGAATTTAGTCTTGACCATGTCTGGCTTTTTAGAATAACTCTGTCCTTTTTAAGTTTTGAATGAGCTACTTTGGGAAAGGGTTTGATTGTGATTCAGTTTCTTCATGCCACGCAGGCCTGCATGGCCACAGGCCTCCTCTCAGTGGCTGATGATGTCTAGAAAAGGTTTGGCAAGTCTCGCATACACAGACTGGGTTTTGGGAGGGGAATTCAGACTTAGTATCAGTCTCCCGGGTGTACAATTAATCCCATGACCCTTTTTTGGTAGAAGGACTCACAGGGAAGTCCACAGCTCTGTGGAACTGAATGGAAAAAACATTTTTTCAGTGCGACAAAACCACATCCCTGCTAAAATTTACATTATTTTCTTCCACCTATTTCTATTCATATGAGAGTTACTTGCCAATTCTCAATGTGTCTTTAGGTACGTGTGACACCAGCTTCATACAGGAAAGATTTCTGCATTTGAACACAGTTAATACTGGCTTTCAAATGCAGGAAACATTTAACATGCAATGTTAAATGAACTAAGGTGTACATTTAATTAGCATCCTATGTCATTTATTAGCTTGAGTTTGCTTATGTCCTGCATTTGCTGAATGAAGAGTGTGAACTAGGTGTAGAGATTCAATTTCCTTGAAGGAATTCAATTTTTTTTAAAGTGCCCATTCCTTCTGAACACTTTGAAATTCATTACTTAGTAAAACTGAGTGCTTTTTATAATACTGTAACTTCTTTTTTTAACAGATCTTTGAAAAAGCAGCAGGTTGTCATACATTTAAATGTATAGTTATATTCCTGTGCATACAACAGAACAGAACTGTATATGATTTTGCTTTCTGATCCTGAGTACCTTTAAACTCATTTTTCATTTTCCATAACTACCAGTTAGGAAAAAAAAAAAAAAGAAACAAAAATAAAAGAAATGAAAGGAAATGAAGAAAAAAGAATATTTTACTATTCTATACTTCAGTTCCACAGTATGTGAAGCCACAGTGAGGCTGCCTTCTCTAAGGACAGATTACCAGCTACTGTGTTAAAACATCTGTACTATTATTCAGCAGCCTTCCTGTTTCCTACAAGTTTCCTGTACGACCAAACAGCCATATGCTTAAAACACAACAGCCCAGTAACAGCTACATGTAGAAGTGGGACTTGATTTATGGGAAGTAAGTTACTGGATTTAGTCCTAAGATTCTCAGCATCACCTGTGAAATGCTGAACATTTTCACGACTGAAATCACTGGAACCTGAGGCCATTGCTGAGAAATTTATAGGATTAGGCAAATAATCTGCAATAATTGTTGGGGTTAAACTTGAGAACTGCCAGCAATAATGGCAGTTCAGCAACTCCAGGCAAAAGAAGGTATGAATTTACTTATCTGTCTGATTGTGCATAGCAATCAGGACTGGGTGCAAGACCTGAATGGCCAATGTATTTTACATGGGCACCTTCAGGCCAGATATCTAAAGGCATTTAGACATTGATTTCAATGTAAGTTCAGTGGCTGAATATCTTTAAAGGTCTGTGTATTTGTGCTTCATAGAGCCCAAATTCACCTCAACAGTTACTGAACTGTAAAATATTGTGAGCCTCATGCAATGTATAATTAAGCAAGATGTACCTAATCCAGAAAAATACATTTGTCTGGAGAGCAACAAGGAATTCCAGAAACAGTCTAACACAAAAAGGGAAGAAAACCATTCCTGGCTAACTATACATAAAACAGATGAAGGAAAAAGTTTAAAGAGGCTGTGTGCCTCCAAACAAGTCCAGGTGAAAGCTCTAGATTGCTAAAAAGAAAAAAAAAAAGTCTATTTACATTGTAAATAATTACAGTTTGGGATGCCAAAGAAAACTGATAGTAGACAGCTTATTAGGTCTTGCTTTTAACCATCAGTGCAGACTGGAGAACAAATGACCATGCGATCATCAATAGTTCTAAAGAGATCCCAAGACACATACCCTGTAAGTATTCAATAGACAGAAGGAGCTGCATGCATGTGAAGGGAATTATAAATTTAGGAACTCATTGCTCCAATGAGCAGTGAGGCAACCCAAAGACACAGCTATGATGGTAAATTGCAGTGGGCTCATTCTTTTCCCTGAAAATCATTACCAAAAACATTTATTTATTTATTTAGTCCTTGTCCAATGGCCTGAACCTTTTCCTTGCTGAAAACAGAATACTGCAAGGGAGAGATCCTGCAGCACTACTAACCTACAAGAATGCAGGTGGTTACACCTGAACAAAATCCTATAATAATGCACCAGAGCATGTAGCAGACATTATTCAGTCTAAATCAACCAAACTTAGCATGGAAGTTAACATAACTCAATGTTGTGAGCATACACAGAGAAAGAAATACCATTTTGGAGAAGTTAATGGTTATTTAAAAAAAACAGCCCCAAAACCTTCTTAATGGAATAACAGAATCTAGTTACAGTCATTTATTTCCTCAGAGAACTCTTAAGAGCTGTAAAAGAACCAGTATTTATATGCTATATAGGAAGCATATAAAATAACAGAAATAAGAACTGGAAGAAGCACTAAGATGTCCTTGTGCCCACGCCACAGCAGGAGAGATCTCATAACTCTTAAGTCACTGAAACTTGCTAACCAAAGGGATTAATCCAGCAAATGCAGCCACCTCTCCTAGAACACTGTGGGAGAGACAGATTTTGGCAACAGCTAAAGATGTAACAGATCCCTCTTGCCTCTCATACCCAAGGAAGTGTCGGAGACATTTGTCTGGAGTGACTCCATTGGTAAGGAAGGTTAAAATACCCTTCCTGTACAAAGAGGAGGGCATCACTATTATGGTTGACAGTATTCCTAGGCTTTCTGTCGGTGACTTGTCCATCTGCTTTTTACAGCTCTTTTCCCTTCCTCATTGCTGGTCTGCATGGAGCTTTACAGACACAGAAGGGTAAATTTCTACTCTTGAGAATTTAATAACACGTACTACAGTCAATTCTGAAATGCTGAGCTTTTGCAATCCTGTCTGCAATCTATGGTATCCTGGGTACTTCTGAGAAGTGCACAGAAACAGGACAGCAACCCAGGACAACCAGCGCTGCAATAAATCTAACTCTGCTAACCGGGAGAACATTGAGATGACTGAACTGGTGGGGGGACTAGCTCACCTACAGGTGCTCATCCTCAGAAGACTGCAGATTCCCTAAGAGCTGGCTGAATTATGATGACACGCCTGCTCCTTTCAGATCTCATTGTGTGGAAAATGACTTCTGTTAGATAATAGACAGCAAAGGATTCAACTCACCAGCGCTCTTCACAGCCAAAATCAGAAGTAGAGCAGCTGCTCATAAGCTGAGGATCTGCTACACAGCCAGTGCTGCTTTTCAATCTTGTGTAGTTTTTACGAACAATATATCCCCTGAAAGCTAAAAAACATAGTTAGGAATCAGAGAAAAATTCTGCAGAGCCTGAAATACAGACTTTTACTGTGTGAATGCCCTCAACTTTTACTGAACCAGTGGACAGAAAGAACACTTAGCACCTCACAGGGGTGGCTCCAATGTTTGCAATGTTAACAGCTGGAAATCATACAGGGCCTTACACTCTTACTGTTATAGTGACCACGTGGCACAGCCCAGGTGAGGAAAAGAGGCCTCAAAATGAGAACATGTCTAATTTAAATAGGAATCCAGCTTAGAATGTATCAAAATACATAGTAGAAAATCACTCCCAAAACACCTTCTTTAATCACAGCTCCCATGATTTGAGCTAATCAGAATTTTACAGAATCAGAAGTTTTACCTGCTTTTATTGTGGGGTAGGGGGGTGAGGAGACAGGGACAGATATATTCAATTAAAACTAGAAAAATTAATAATGTCTTTTCCTATTTTTCAATTAACTGCAACCATAATAAAACATTTAAAATACCTCTCATACAAATAATGAGGAAAAAAACCCCAAACTACAGAGATTGGAATTTATACCATTCATAAAAAAAAGCGCAGAACAAAACAATCACTAGAAATACTAAATGAAGTAACAAACATGCACTGAAATGAAATGGCAAAGAAAATAGCAATGAATAACATTTTGAAGATATCTACATCCTTTTATTTCCATGGACTCTGAATTTGGATACCTAAATTACTTAATTACTTCTGTAGTTTTATCTGACATGAATTTGCTTGAATTCTGGACACCTGTGAGCAGTTAGTAATAAAGCTCCAGCACAAACCACAAATAGCAATACATACTGCACTTAGGTCAAAAGACTAAATGTATTGCAATGTACACTTAAACCCAAAAATTGTAAAATTTTATTTTTTGTAGGGTTTATTTCAAGCATTATTTAAGTAGAAATACCTTGATAAAAGGGGAGGGCTGAATAACGAAGAAATGAAGTACAGTATCAATGCCATAGCTGAAGGGTACAACAAGCAGTTGCTGAATAAGAAGGCTGAGGGTTGTGAGGGAAAGGAGTTGTTTATTAGTCTAGTAGGACTGCAACTTAAACAGTGAGATGATATGTAAAAGAAAATTGGAGCTAAGATCAGGAAATATTATGATTTTGAGGAAAAAACCTTCCCCGTCCAGGAAAGCTTCTAAGCACACTAAACACGTGTAAAAGCAGAGTCAGTCTGGGGACTAATCACCCAAAGGAGGAGAAGAGACCCCTCATTGGGATTCCTAGAGTCCAGGGTTAAATATGACAGTGAGATGCAGGATAGGCACAGAAATGGGGTCTAGGGTAACCTCATGTAGAATCAGGGTCAAGATAACATTGTAGATCACAAAGGGAAATCAGGAGGCAGAATAAATATAGAATAAATTGAGAACAAAGAAGTTGATCAGAAGATTAGCAAGTTTTCCCTGTATCTCACACCTCTGATTTTATGAAAACGCTATAAGTAGACATTACCTACACAACAGAGAATAAAGACCCTGTGGAATTTACAGTCCCTCAATTATTACCAAATTATGAGAGAATTGATTTCACTTTTCTTACATTTAACTACTTTTATAAATTTAGCTCCCCATTCATGGTTGGGGTTTTTTTTGCATAATGAAAAGATGGTCGAGGAAACAAAATAGAGCTACCTCGATTGCATCTGCTCTTTCCCTTAGGAAAGGGCTGTAACTAATCCCTTCTTTTCTATTTTAATTCCTGTATAGTGTTAATGGTCTTTTTTTCAGCCACCTACCTCCACAAAAGTATGTGGTGTTGCACTTAATTGTGCAGTATAAGAAAATGAAAACCATCTGAACAGTCCAAGCTGTGGTATGCAATGCTCCATAACAATCTAAGTGTTTCAGTGCTACTGAGGTTTCCAGGGTAAGAAGCTGCAAAAATTGCCTTTTAATGAGAGGTTACTAAAAAAAATAACCATTCACTTTACAGAAGGCATGACAGAAGTTGGGCCTGCTGAGGTGTTGTACCGAATACAGAGCTCAGGTATCGTGAGGCTGAGGAACTTTCCACCCTTAATAATCAGACTGGAAAAGTCAGTCTGTCTGGCAGAGATGAGGCAAGCATTCACTTGCCCCATGTGATCAGGCTTCCAATCCTTAACTATCCCCTACTGACCAGACAAGGAGCCTACTCTGATATTGGCAGCAGAGACAGCTGGCCAGCAGCCACCTCTCTGCAGCTGAAACATGCTGAGTATCAGTCAGTTGATGGGCTACTATAAAAATAAAGAAGCACTGAAACAACCAAACTAATAAGATAAACTTCAGTTTTATCCTTAGTAATTTCTCAACTTTTATTAGTTGTTTGCATGTGTGTGTGTCTATAAAATCAACCCTGATAGCTACTGTGATTTTATTTTTTAAAATTCTTTTCCCCAGAGACTCTTATTAATGTCAGTATAACCATTTTGGTCTTTTCCTCATTCACTACATAAAACCTGCTATATCTGATTTAACAAACATAGTTTTTAACCTGTCTTTTGTTTTCATACATATTTTCAAAATCAGCTCCTCTTCAACTTAACCCTTCTGCAAGCTGGTTTCTAACATTCTTCTAGAATATCTTGAATCTGACAGGTAAATGGCTGTATTTTTCCTACTTTCCCTTTGACTCATGGGATAACGGAAGCAGCAGGATAAACAAACTTCTCTCTCTCTCAAAAGCTTCATCGAGTGTTAGTAGGACTGCATCTTTTCAACATTTATTAACTGGATCTATAATGTTTCAAAAGAAATGCATATGCAGAGAATTCTACCGGGGGAGTCTGAGAGGCTGGGAAGCTGCTCCATCACAGCAATTTGCATTACTGACTGGTGCTGGTTTTGACACTAAGCACTTGGCTCAAAGAGTGTGAAATTAGCAGACTCATGTTGCTACTGCTCCATGAACAATCACTGCATCATTGAAGAAGAATGATTACCAGCTGTCACCTCATTTTCACCTTATCCAGTCTATATTCCAAACTTTCCAGCAACAGTATCTTTAACCCTGATCTTTACATAGCCAAAGATGACAGGATCTGAAAAGCAACGTAGGAACTGAACTTAATTTTAGCACTATTAGTAACTCAGTGTTAAATGTTTTATGTGCCACAATTTAGGACATGAATTTTTACTTCTTGTACTGATCAATTCTCACACAAAGTGCATTTTCTGTCAGCTCCAGCACCTAGCAAACCAAGAATATATTTACCTCAGGGAGTCTGAAATTTGGTGTCTTGCAGTTAAAAACCTTTGGTTTAAGGTCTAAGTACCAAGGCATATACATTACACACAATGTTGCACAATTCCAGATAAGCGAAGTCCAGGCATTTTCCCTCTGATTCCCATAGGGAATATATAGTTACAGAACAAATTGTGAAGCACAGTGTAGAAAGGTCAAAACTAAACAATCACAGGTCTATATACAAGAAGTATGAAGAAAGGAGATGAAGTCGTATTTTAAACAGCAGAAGGATTCATTCTCAGTCATAAAAAATCATGTTAAGCAGACATCTTCTACACAGACACATTTTTAATCTATAATATCACCTAAAACAGCACATAACAGCAACTTGGAAATTAAAGCTCATGCTTGCTGAAGAGAAGATATCATGGTAGTTTGTAATCAGAAGTTGATTTGCTATGAACAGCATATCACTTTCCTAATTTGCCTAGTTAAAAGAGCATTCAGCAGCTTAACTAACAACATCTGAGAGGATTTGGAGCCCATGAATCTGATTCTTCACTCCATGCCAAATTAATTCTAATGAACAGTAAAAGGGATAGAGAGTCACATCCTTTGCTGGGTCCCATGAATACCTCCCCTCTTTCACCTCTCTCTCTGGATAGGTATTGGGGGATGCCTGTTTAATGGCAGAAAAAAACCCCTCTTAAGTTCTCTGGCAGAAGGATTACGAGAAAGCAAGTCACGAGTTCTCACGTACAAGCAGTAACTATCAGTAACAAGCAGTGACTATTAAGAAGACTCACCAAGGCTGCCATCAAGACTGGTGTCACTGATGCACATCACCACTTGGACATAGGGTCTTTAATTACCATGCATTACAGCCTCTGATCTTGAGATTTGGTCAAAGAAAAGAAAGTGAAGATGACTGCGAAACTCTTTGTCAATATCAGCAAGGGAATGGAATAGATTTTTCCAACGTATTGTTGGACAACTTAGATTGTTGTCCCTTCCCGATTTTAGCAAGGGCATGAAATCCAGTAAGAATGGTCTCCTTTTCATCTCCTCAAAAACACGAGAGAAAACAAAAGGAAATGCAGATGTACTCACATTGACAGAGCTTAGCTCAGAGATGGGGATAGAATGTAGGACATCATACTTCAAAATCATAAGGCCTTTTCACTCTTCTTAACATGTTCCCTGCAAGGGCAGGAGTCTTTTAATGGTAACGAGAGATAGATACTAAAAGTGAAGAATTACTGGATGCCCTAAGCTAGTACAGAACACAAAGAGATGGAAGAGTAAAGTTAATCAAAGCTGTGCAGCCTGTACAAACCAGTCTGGTTTACCCTGAATGTGAAATCAAGGTAATACAATGAGTAAGTTCAGCTGCCATTAAGAGAAACACGTACATCTCTTCAATGGTTCTCACACTGACAACGTAGTTAAAAGGAAGAAAATTAGTGATATAAAAAAGTAAAACTGCATCTGCTACTTAGTGGTTGTTATTTTCAGGAAAATTTAAAAAAAATATATTTTTAGATAGATTTATAACATGCTTAGAAGTTTTTGGAACATTTTACTCATGTAATTCTTAGATCTATACAACAGTATTAGCCGAATACATGGACACACACATGTACACAGTGATATAAATAGGTGAACATAGGGTTTTCAAGAAATACTTCCTTGTCTTCTATTGAAGCCAACATTAAATCTTTGCTGTTGAAAATCCCAAAGGTAACACTTTTATTAAAAGCTTACATTTATTATAAATGTAAAATAGTAAATTACAGCTGTTCTCAGGCCCTCTTTTTTTTTATTATAATGGAGTAAATTTTGCCAGAAGCACATGTTAGAGATATGTAAATAGTGAGCAACACTGCATGGGCAAAAGTTACAGAAAGAAAGCATTTTACAAAGTGATGCTTCATCTGGTTTCCTTCTGAACATCCATCACTTTTTATTAAAAAAAAAAAAAAAAAGAGCCCAAATCTTGGTTTCTTGGTAAAGAATTTTCCAATACAATGTGACATATGGTGACTGTGTGAGCACGTGTTGGAGGAGGAGATGGTGGCTCAATAGATTAGTCATTTGCCTTTCACCTCTGGAAGCATAGTTAAACTCAGTCCTGACCAGAGCTGCACAGTATATCCCAGATGGCTAAAGTGGGCCTAATTAAAATGAATTCAGTGATGTCACCTTGGATCTAAGTGAATCGCATGCACCACTCATTTGGCATTGGCAACGTTAGTTCACAAATGAAATAACCAGATTAAAATCTTCCCTTAAGTCTTTCAGGACAACAGTCCCACTGCATGGAAATACATGCTATCATAACTAAAAAACATACTTTTTCAATTGTATTATCTATTGTTTTAAATTCTAATTAGTCCATTATTCTAATACAAAGAAACATTAAATGAGACTTGCATGTGAGGTGAATCAGTGCAGCAACATTTCAGTCAGATGATTCAGTGGATGTACACCGATTTAAACCAACTGTGAATCTGACAACATAATTTAAAAAAATTCTTTATTTTAACAAAATATTTTTCCTTTTATGTAGATATAAATCAAAACAATACAAATCCCAATTACAAAGAAATACTCAGAAGTGCAAAGTATTGTTAACTCAAACACTTTACAGAAAATCATTCTTTACAATCTGCCTCTAAGCTAAAAATTAGCATTTTCGAAACTTCACAGTTTGGGAAAGTGTGACTGGAAGAAGTAGGAAAGACCTTGTGTACCTTGTGTACCATTTTAGCCATGAGTCTAATAAGTTCTGTGTATTCTGAGAACCTGTGATGTAGATATGCTGAAGTAGGGTAGCTTTTTCTTCCCCACCTAATTTAAATTCACAAATATTTTGTTTCCTAGCAAGGGTATTTTCCCCCATCTGAAATAATGTCTTTTTTTCGGGTAATATAATACATGCAGGAATTGTATCCTCATGTATATTGTGAGGGTTGTTTTTTTTCTAAGTTTGTTTTTTCTTCCAACGTTTCTTCAATGGATAGTGAACTGCTGGGCCCACAGAGATCTCCAGACCACCAGCTCATGTATTTGAAAGGCATCTGTTTATTTTTAAAATGCAAATGCAGCCTACCTCAAAGACTGACTTGCAAGAAATGAACAATCTGAACAAGTCAAGAGGTTTCCAATCAGGAGCTGTGTTCCTCCTTTGTATCAGGCTATGATCACTTGCTGTCAAAACCACTTAAACAATATCCTGGAATCTGAATGAAGTCCCCCCACAATTAAAATGAGCAGGATAATCCTGCAAGAATTATTCAGGCAAATCATTTTTCACACAGTTTAAAGTAATGATAAGGTCATTTACAAAAGAAATCAGCGCCTTTGAAATGCTGACTTGTAGACAGAGGACTGCCTGGAGGAGGGCCATAGATAACAGTGAAGACTGGCCTCCTAACACTACCCTCACAGTCTTTGGAACTGATTCTGATGAAGAGAAGGCCCAATAAGGTTAATACCCCTACTTTGATCTCTGTCAAAGCGTACCAGCAAGAATTAATTTACATTTCAGATGAAAAAGGTTGACAGCATGAAAAGGCATCTTGTTTCTGGTATGTGAATGTGCTGTAATAGATCGGGAATTCTGAAAGGAAGTTCTGAGGAAGCTAAAGGGATAAGCCGAGCGGCTGCTTTTATTGGGAAAGAGATGAAAGGAAAACAAATTTCAATATGTGCTGTTCTGTAGAAACATGTAAGCCAAATGCTTCCTAAATTTCAAGGCCTGCTTGAGCAGGGGGGGAGGGAAAGGAGAGGGAAGTACATATATTTTAATTATATGGTTTTGCTAATGTCTGGATGACAAATGCAAACAATCTATCTCACTGCCTGAAATGGCTCATTTAAAAAAAAAAATACAAAGGTGATCATGCTCCATTTTACTGAAAAGCTGCCTTGAACTACACATTCACATTATAAGATGTGCAGGGAAGGGAGAGATTTGGAGCTGCTTTTGTCTCCATGTCACTAGGCACTTGGACAGTGTGATGTAAACAACAGAAAGACTGTCGGTGTATTTTAAAACCTGGAAAATGGCCACCATTAGCAAGCATGAGCTTTTATTTGAAACACAGAATACTTAGCATGTAGAGAAGAGAAAATGTGCACAAGAATAATTTTCAAATAAGAAGTCCTAGATAAAGGTTTTCAAAGGCAGACAGAAATGTGTTGAGGATTACTATTATTACTATACCCCTTCAAATGCAATGCCAAAGATAGGAGGAGCAGACAGCCTAATTAATACAAAGGTGCACTGTGTCACTCTTAACCCTATAGTCCTCATGCTTATTCACCCAGACTGATCACTGAAACTGTCAAGTGCCAGGTTACAAAGGAAGACAGCGTGTGTGTTAGTGGGAAGAGTGCTAACAGCATTCCTCCAGCATTAGGTCCAGAGGGCTCAATAGAAGTGTCCAAATTCAAGGGTATGCATACACTCCCACTGCCTCTGCTCTGCCATGTTCAACGCAGCGTCTAAGAGATGGCAGGAAGGAACACAGCTCTGAATCTCTCCCATGTGTGCAAAGAGCAGAATAGATCAGTTGCTTTCTCTAAAGAGCTAGTTCTCCTACATGCCTAAGAAATCTAGCTGGATAAAACTCTAAGGCAGGATGTCCCCTACCAGTATCCAAGTGATACTGCTATACACCAGCTTCCTACTGAACCTGAGATAACTCTCATCTTAAGGTACTGGTAATAGTGGGACAGTGATGGGTCAACTGCTTCACTTTCCTTTTTATGGCAAAAGGCTGTTATAAGTCAGGAAATCAAAGTGCAGGTATGGCCATGTGTAAACGTAGCAAATACTCCAGAAAATAGTTGCAGGCGGTACTTTAAGATCTACTGTCTGTGCTATCATGAAAACAATAGAAAATGACAACACAAAGGAGAGGAAGAAGGGGAGAGGGTGCTTATGCAGTCCTTCAGTGCTTATTGTAATGGGAGAAACAAATTCTCCTTAACAGTTCTCCATTTAATAGAATATTCTGCATTTGACCCTAGAGCTATAGTTTAGGATTCTACAAAACAGTATGCATGCAAAGCTATAAATTATTATTTTATCCTAATGATACTCTGTTCATTTCTGTAACCAGACTGGTATTCTGTTTTCTGCTGAAAGTCACTGCAATGCTTAATTTCAGAGTAGCAAACTTAGACAAAAGAAAAACAAATTTACTGGAAATGCCTTGAGAACAAAGTAAACGAATATTTAGAACACATCTTTTTCAGACTATAGACTTCAGACTTTTAGACTATATGATACAGAATAGAGAGGTGACAAAGCTTAAGGAATTATAGCACAGGAAGCTGGTAGAATAAAGGTGGTACCTTGGTTTATCTGTAAACATATTTGCCACAACTCATTTTTGATCGGCTAGTCTTTCAACCTGGGGTTGGACAGGGAAGGTGTATTACACTGCATCATATGGAGGCTGCTTCATATTGGCAGCATCTGAAAACACCATTGAGGCACTGGTGCTTAGATTTCTGTGCCATATGGTACCCTGCTCTGTACTAGAGACCTACACAGCCCTATGGGCCTGTTCTTCCAATAATCTCTTTAAAGTTTATTCAAATTCATATTGATATGGCTGCATAGGAGTCTGGCAGAGAGTCAAAAGATTGGCCAAAGCTGGCAAACCCAGCAAGCAGTCAAAACAAAACCCTGGCAACCTGCCAAGATCAGGGCTTGACACAAAGACAGAGAAATGTATGTCCAGTGCCTCCCATCCATACTGTTAGTCAAATCAATCCAGTGCTTCATATCAGCTCTACATACAGTTGAATCATACAGACGGTGCTCAGAA